CACCTTCTCAAGTGTCTTCTGATTTACGTTGTGTGTGTCGAGTAAGCACAACGTTAGGACACAATTATAAACGAGAAGAAGTACTAGGATATACGTATACGCTAGTTTAATCAAAATATAGCAGCACAACAATAATTGGTGAGCCCGACGACAACTTGTTGACCCCGACGCATCGTTACACTTGCTGGATTAATAAAACTCTAACTTTCGTGGATCTCTATATTTACTATACATTTCGAACTCATTCTTGTGCTATCTCATCGCACAACCTCCAGTAAATTGCGTACCTCCGGTGGTCAAACACTCTTACAATGGTCTGCAACTCCATTTACTCAAGCCGGTCCTACAGCTGTTCAATTACAACAACAGTTTACCCAATCACCTAAACAACAACAACAGATTCGAGCACAAGCTCATCAGTTACAACCAGCTCAACAGCAAGCTTATATCCAACAAAATCAGCAACAAGCAACAATGATGACAACTGACGTCTCTGTCAGTGGTCAACCTGGTACTGTAGCTGCATGCTCCGATGCTACTCCCCAGTTTATCACCCTGGCACCAGGAGCTCCATTAAAAGTCATGGCTGTTGGTCCTAACGGTCAGTTGATTCAAATCACTAGTTTATCACAGTTTATGCCAACTGCTCTTGTTGGAATGGCTATCAATCAACCAACTTCTACTCTCCAACCTCAGCAAACATCAATTGAAGTTACTCCTCAACGCCGAGTAACAACACCCCAGCAACAACAACAACATACTGACGGACGTTCACTTTCAACCGTATCAGCAGCAGCAGCTACTGCTGCACTCTTCTCTGGCACAGCCATCTCTTCTTGTACAATTCCACTTGTACAACCAGCTTTCATGGAAACAGAGGTAACCGAATGTTTACCCAAGTCATCCCCATACTTCCTTGTTACTATACTATTAACGGTATGTTAAGATATAAATCTATTCTGTAACTCCTTATAATAACAACCTCATTATTATTCTAATAATTTTTCTGGTTTTATTGTTACATTTTGCACAACTTTCTAAACATTTCGGTTCGTTTCAAAATTGTTAACATTTCCTAATATATACAGTTATAATCGAACCTCAGAAAACTTAAAAGCCTCAATTCGGTTTTCATACTTTTTTGTCCTTGTAATTTAAAATATCATTCCGAATACAGGTAAACTTCATTTACCTGCATTCTACGGAGGGGCTATTGTAGTGACCCATTTTACTACTCATCATCGTACTATAATAATTTATATTTTCATTGTGTAATTGTACTTCGATTTGTTTATTACGCTAAATCTTGCATGTTAACAATTGATACAATTGTACTCGCTCAACTTTTGAATTTTGATTACGGCGAGAATACACATTCCTACACCTTCTCAAGTGTCTTCTGATTTACGTTGTGTGTGTCGAGTAAGCACAACGTTAGGACACAATTATAAACGAGAAGAAGTACTAGGATATATGTATACGCTAGTTTAATCAAAATACAGCAGCACAACAGGTGTACCTTCCTCTCCTTTGCTTACTGAAGCTGGAGTTCCTCAGGGTGCTGTTCCCTCTCCCTTTCTCTTTTCCTTCTTCTTACATGACTTACCTCTTTCAGACGAAATCAACTTCGTCAAATATGCAGATGACCTGACTGTTTCGCTTCCCATTAAGTCTCAGTCAGACTGTTTCAAATTAAATAGCTTCCTGTCGGACATCGGTCAGTGGTCTAAACTAAATGGCCTCATGCTGAATCCCTCAAAATGCCAGACTACTGACTTCTCCCTTAGGCATAAACGAGATCTCCAAACACTAGTAAGTACTCATGAAGCCTGTTGCACTGAGGGGACGAAAATTGAAACTAAGTCTAATGCAAAATACCTCGGTCTAGTTCTATCTTCCGACCTTACTTGGACATCTCATATCCTAATGATTTCTAAGAAAGTGTTCTGTCTGACCTACTACATTAAGAAACTTAGACAATCTGGAATCACCCAAACTCTACTTTCACAATTTGTCAACTCTTGTATCTTACCTATTCTACTTTACTGCTCCCCGTTAGTCTTTCCTGGGCTACTGAAAAAGGACTATGCCATCCTGAGAAGGATGTTGAAGGTAGTTAGTAGGACTAGTGGTGTAAAACTCAGTCAGCTCGTCACTACATTAGTTGAAAGGCATCTGAATACATGCGAAAAATGGTCTAAAACCATACTCTCCGACCCCCAACACCCCCTCTATTCCCAACTCTCGCCTTGTATCTCATCAAGTAGAACCAGAAATCAGTGTAAAATAATTTATGCTCGTACAACAACGATACCATACTTGGCCCGTGTTCTAAGTGAAAGAGACAATGTTAAGCGCGAAACCCATGACTTGCTTTGTTGTTAATAACATAATTTTAGGCTCTTTTATTTCCCTTTTATTTTGTATTCTTTAGTGAATTTCTTAAACATACTTAGCTACCTAAATTATCAACATTGGCTTACTTTACTCTATTCGTTCTTTTGTGTATCTACTAATTCCGACTATACTAGCACTATGAGCATTTCAAAATTGTCCTGTCATTAATCCATCATGTAATTATTAGTTTTTGTGGTTGTTTTTTCTTATTTTTTCGGCAATATTAACTGACAATCATTGGTTGTGAATGCCATTATCACCACCTTAAAATTTTGTATTATGCAGGATTACTCACACTACCACTACAAACACTGCATTAGACCTGACATTAAAAAACAAAACAACAACCCTGAAATGTTACTTAATGATTGTTTAGTGTTGTTCAACCAAATTAACTGATCTTCTTGAAGATAAACATTCTTAAATATCATTTCACAACTTCTTGTATGTCTGTAGCTTTACTGTTCACCATGCATGATCATATCATAGCTTCCACTACCCAATATTGAGATATTATTTTATGTTGTTTATTCTCTTTTCTACTTTTTGGCATGTTATTGCATTTAAAAAAATTTTGTTTTTTGTGTTTTTTGTTGTTGTTGTCTCTATATTTATATTTTGAAACACTCCTTTTAAATGTTTGTTAAAATTAGGTGCAAATATTGTAGATATGTGCTGAAAATTCCACACTGTACCACTAGTACTGTTTCTGGAATAAAGCAAATTATTATTATTAAATGCAAATTGGTATATGAAGTAGAGCTATATTTTCCAAAGTTGGAAATATTAGGGGCAACACTCCCCACCAAAAGACTGTTGGTTTCTTTTCTAAACAATCGATGAGGTAATATTTACAGCATTGGTCATTCGTCTGGATAAATGATTACACAAAACGCTCACACGACTCAAAATAAATAGAAATCCACTAACTAATAGCACGCACTCCCTGCACCTATACAAGTAGTCCTTGCAAAACGCACGCACAAACACACGCCTAACTAGTACACGCTGCTCTTGGCTACTTGGACTTACATCAATGCTCAAAGATACTACCCTGATAAACCCTATTATCGCTGGCTTCCATGAGACGAAATTCCCTAACATCACTTACCAATACTCCCTTAGCCGTCTTCACCACCACTTGTACAAACAAATCACATTTATTAAGCAGCAACTGTTGCACAATTCCGAGTGGCCATTGAATTCTCCTAGTAGAGCCTAATACGACGATAGTTAAGTCCCCGGCAATACAAAGTAGCGGTACGTCCAACGTTTGCGTTACATTTTTGCGTGATTCGTTACATAAAATTTATCTTGTTGCAATCCTTGCACAAGTCCTCTACTACTTCCATACCTATAACTATTAACTCTCATATCAAATAGTTATGGTTAACCAAAGTAAAAAGCAGCGAACTCAATCCCCTGTAAAACTGATGACTAATTTTAAGTCGTTGATTGCTACATCAAGCAACATACTTCCTACAAATGGTTATAGTGAGCCACAAAACTCACTTGTATGTCGCAAGCGTCGAGCTGAAACTGAGGATAAAACTATACTGACAGCTAGTATTAGCACTACTCCCAAAAATTCAGTACCCTCTGCTCATACAGAAACCCTCCCTACACCTTATGTGCTTATCGAAAAGCTCCAGCCTTCAAGCTCTGTTTCAGTACTATCTTCAGAAATAGAACTTCTAAAGTTGTCTATAGGAGAACTTAAGGCCGAGTTAAGGGACTTAAAAAACAATAAGTCAGTAGATCCTGGAATTTCCGATACCAATAGCAAAATCTCCAATTTATCAGGTCAGATCAGTGATATCAGACTGCAGGTCTGTGAACTGACACTTTTAACTATTCTCATGAAAACTGTAGACCTTAACAAACTTGACAGTGAATCGATATCTAAGGTGGATAACCTAATTAACTTTGTTACTACAGAAGTAACAAAATGACTAGATGCTAAATTAAATGCTATTGTCTACAACGTTCCGGATAATGAGGCACTAAAAAAGGTACAGCGCATCCTACTTAGTGAGGCGAAAATGCCCAACTCCAAGACTAAGTGCTACAGGCTGAAGAAGAGTCAACATGACAAGTGTTGTCCTATTCGTTTTCAGTTCGAAACACCGGCTGAGGCCAGAAAATTTACCCGCTCCCAACACACCCTATCGCAAGCCAGAAATTACAAACTAATAAAGGTTGCGGTGGACAAGACCGTCATAGAAAGGCGCGTATATAATTATCACACTGAGTCTAATTGTGGAATAAACAATAGGACATTGCAATCAGCAATTATACCCAACCCTTTGAGAGACACCGTAGAATCCACCGCTAGTTGTTGTTCTCTACTTCGATATATCTAGCGCATTTGACATGTTATCTCACAGTATTCTCTTTGAGAAGCTGTATTCATGTGGGATTCGCAATCCATTACTGAGCTGGTTAAAATCTTTTCTAAGCAATAGGGTACAAATAACCAAGGTTGGATCTGTATTGTCTCATCCTAGGCAGATCACAAGTGGGGTTGTGCAAGGTAGTGTCCTAGGTCCACTTTTATTTACAGTATACATTAACAGCATTTGCAACTGCTTCACCTCAGGTAAATCATTCCTATATGCTGACGACCTCAAAGTCGTTTACTCCTGCTACGCTCATGAACTAAGCGATATGGTAAATAAAATACATCTTGAACTAAGTAGTCTCGCAACATGGTGTACTGAATCCTGTCTTAAGTTCAACATTGATAAATGCGGCTGGATTTGCATCGGAAACAGTAACCTTGACCTGAATCTTGAAATAAATGGGCGTAAACTAGCCAAGCTCAACTCAGTCGTAGATCTCGGTATCAGATACTCTAATAACTTAACGTTCTCTGAACAAACTGATTATGCCAGACGTAAAACACGAAGGCTCCTAGGATGCATAACTCGTAATTTCTTTTGTTGTGAAACTAGGGTTTTATTATATAAAGTATGTGTCCGACCTATTTTAGAATACTGCCCGTTTATTCTTAGCGGACTCAGACAAAATGACAAGCTTAAGTTAGAAGGAGTGCAACGGCAATTCACCTTAAGAATTCTTGGTTTAGAAAGTGGTCTCCAATACTATGAACGTTGCGACAGACTAAGTTTAGAACCACTCTGGAAAAGACGTCTTAAGCTAAACCTGATTTTTTACTACAAGCTAACTAATCTGCTCGTGCACTCCTCCGAGCCAATAATTAAACCTACCGCTGTCATCAGTTACAATCTTAGAAATCATCACAACCTAGCTGCTATAGAGCATTGTCAGACTCACATGCGGTATAATTTCTTCTTAAATAAGTTTTCAGTCATTTGGAATAGACTACCAGCTGATGTGCGCGATGCAAACACACTCGCAGTGTTCATCTCCTCAGTCACCAGACTGCTCAAAGATGACAGTGCACTTCTGAGTCTGAATCCTACATCCACTTTTTCGTCCAACATAGATATTTTAAGTTCATTAAACGTGTAGTTACAACAAACTACAATTATAAATTTTTATATTATTGGAAGTACATGATAGACATTTTTACACAGGACAACAATATTAGCTCACACAATATAAAAGTTAGCATTACGGGAATAGTTAGTTAGTGCACCAAAATAACTATAATTACTAAACAGAATATAAATGTATGTATACATATTAATCACCCCCTAAGTACTCCACTTGCTTTCTTTTGCGTTGTTGTTGTTGTTTGTCTTCTTTTGTCTCTCACCATTTCAGCTTCCATTTAACTTTTTGAATGAGAACGAAGAATGTAGATATTTGCCCATTTACAATGACAAATGATCTGCAAACATTATTGGTCCCATAACTTACAATTCCCTCGTGAATTGCGCATTGCCTTCACCAACGACGTAACCTGGATTACAGTTGTGAAATATATCTTTATACCAATAAAAAAGTATTGATTTATAATACTTCACGAATGTAACTTATAACATAACTGATCTTGTCTGCAAAATAGCTTGCATTTCTTGAAAACACCCGTTTATAAGAAAATATAAACTACCATTATTATTAGTCTACCTTGAGTACTATTCACTTGTGATGTTACGAAGAAAATGCTGACAAAAGTATACAAGTGGATTACTTATTTTAAATTATTATCAAGAATAAGACTCGATGCCGTACACACCAAAGTTATATGGAGGAATTACTTCAAGCTTTATTTTTTTCCCAAGTATTTGTAATCCATCCAAAACATACTTGGGTTTTTTTTGTTAATGCGAAGACAATATTTCTATATTTCTTGATGTGCTCCATTGAATGACTAGTTATCATATTGTTCCCATAGACAAAATGACTGCAACCTTATAATTTTACCATGAACCAAATTTATGTAATTTAAATAATACTTATCTATGCATGTACAACTGGTGTGTCCTACACAGGTAGGAAAAAATGTATTTTATTAAATTACTATTATTAAATATGTTTACTAATCGTATATGTAATTTATCATATTGATGATGCCTGTAAACTGGCGTCCCTCATGTACAAAATGAGAATATACTATGTCATACTCAAATGCTATTGTCTACAACGTTCCGGATAATGAGGCACTAAAAAAGGTACAGCGCATCCTACTTAGTGAGGCGAAAATGCCCAACTCCAAGACTAAGTGCTACAGGCTGAAGAAGAGTCAACATGACAAGTGTTGTCCTATTCGTTTTCAGTTCGAAACACCGGCTGAGGCCAGAAAATTTACCCGCTCCCAACACACCCTATCGCAAGCCAGAAATTACAAACTAATAAAGGTTGCGGTGGACAAGACCGTCATAGAAAGGCGCGTATATAATTATCACACTGAGTCTAATTGTGGAATAAACAATAGGACATTGCAAGCAGCAATTATACCCAACCCTTTGAGAGACACCGTAGAATCCACCGCACCAACCCTCTCTAACCACACAGAATTATCTTCTCAGAGAGCGACACCAACCGTAAGGCCGCTAAATTGTAATCAAATAGCCAATAAAACTATACCACCTACCACCGTAGATTTAGACATGTCACTAAATAATCCAAGAAAAAAAGTCAAAATCCCCCGAAAGTTGACCCTGTCTTCTCCTAGCCATAAGTCCATTGGTAAAAAAGAGAAGAATATGACCCCAAATCATGCCAACAACAACAATCGCAGTATAAGTAAGCCCACATTCCCCACGGTCAATAGTTTTGGCACTCACAACGTGCGAAATAGCACCATGGCCCACACTGATAACCAACGCCAAAACTATGCCACCCTCAAGAGTACAAGTGACAATAGTCAGAACTCGATCACCAACAACTCAGGGCATTCACAGTATGGCACGCAAATAAATTTTGATCGGATATACGGTACAAGTCTGCTGGGAACTAACCCACAAAGCAGTATATACGAAACCCTTACAAGGACACCACTAGTACCTAACAATAGGCGGAATAATAGACCATGGTCTTCACAATGTCCCAATCATTTTTTATCCCCTGCGTCCCTGTCAGCGTTGAAAAAACAGCTGGTAGGGATACTAACACTCCTAAACCGCTAGTGCTGGCTCCCCCTTTGCATGAATGTAGGAACAGTCTAGTTCGCCCGCATCCACTAAGCACACTTGGTACATGCACAAGTTTAGGTCAAATAAAGATCCCTACCCCCGTTTCTAGCTTAACTAAAAATAAAAATGCCTTAGCCTATAGCACATCCAGTACTCCAACGCTCAATTCTTCACCGAAAACAGCACACACCAACTCGATAGACATAGGTGAACATGATGCTGAAACTCCTCTTAACATAGGGTCGTCATGTCAAACAGTACTACTGGGTGCTGAACCACATTCGGGGCTGATTAACGAACTTAAGTACTTCAAATGCTATTTCAAATCTCATCTTTACCTAATCCTCATAAATGCTAGATCCGTTCTAAATAAACTACCGATGCTCAGAGCACTCACAGTAATATACAAACCCCCTATAATTGTCATCACTGAATCCTGGTGTAACTCGAACATACTGGATGAAGAGATAAGCTTAGATAACTATACACACTTTCGGTGTGACAGGGAAGGTGGTAAGGGAGGGGGTTGTCTTATGTACTTTCTGAATGCACTTACTGTATCACAGCTAGAAAGTAGTACACTTAACATGCCTGAGACTTTATAGGTTAACTTACACTTAAATAACGCAATAGTATTAATTGGATGCACCTACAGAGCACCTGGCACCTTTAGTAATTACGAGACCCAACTTATTAATACTCTAGAACAATTATCCACCCTACACTACGATCATAAGATCCTATGTGGAGACTTTAACTTACCAGAAATCAACTGGGAAATACCCACAGGTCCAACTAAACTTGATAAGTTCTTAGGCACACTGGATATACTTGGCTGGAAGCAGACTGTCACAACCCCTACAAGAGGTAATAACGTACTAGACTTAATCTTCTGCCACAATATAAGTCCCCTTTCTACCCTAGTAGGTTCTGAGTTTTCAGGGAGTGACCACAAAACAGTGCTGTGTGCACTGCCACTTCCGTCAAGTAGCAATGCAACCCATACCCCTACTTCACAACAAATAACTTACAGGAACTACAGTAAGGCAGACTGGACTCTAGTAAAATCAATGCTAAGATCCTCAGAATGGAGTGAGTACTATACTGATAGCCTCTCGAAAGCTCTAGACATCTTTTACTATAACTCCAACACATGCTTAGATGCTGTCATCCCACTTCAAACATTAAAGTTTTCCCCACATAGAAAGTCATTCATAAAGCCAAAGGATCGTAGGAAACTGAAAAGACTGTCAACAAGTTACTTCAGGCGACACGACTTTAGTACACTAGGGTCAATACTTAGTACTCTTAGCTCCATCTCGCAAGCTCATAACTTGCGTATGAGAAATGAATAATGCACCGCACTAGCCAGCATCACCAGAGTAGGTGCTCTCACAGAAATCCTAAAGAAACGAATGAATCGCCAAAGCCATAAAATTTCTCTCCTTATAAACAAGGGCAAACTATACAGCAACCATGCAGACATGTGTGAACTGTTTAATGAGACGTTTGCAGCTAACTACCTTAAGCCTACAAGTCCACTTCTCGGTTTACAATCTAAAATAGAACTCCCTTCATCTTCAACGCTGAAACAAATCACTACAGTTCATTTCACTTACTCTAATATTAACCAAGCCGTTAATACTCTTAAAAGCTCTAGTAGTGCCGGTTTTGACGGTATACCATCGTATCTTTATAAACACGGTAGTTCTGACATTTCCGTTTTATTACTTAAGATTTTTACAATGTCCCTAGAAAGCCAAACCTATCCAGATAAATGGAAAACGACATTTATAGTACCTAAACACAAATCCGGATCAAAAACTGAAGTCAACAACTATAGGCCAATCAATATTACACCCATAGTATCTAGAATCATTGAACGAATAGTTAAAGATGATATCCTCAAACATATGCTCAGCTGCAATATTCTAAGTCCAAACCAACATGGATTCCTAAAATCCAGATCATGCATGACATGTCACCTTGACTTCTTTAACTATATAACTAGCAGCCGAGACAAACAACAACTAGTACTAGTCATCTACTTCGACATATCCAAAGCCTTTGACCGCGTTGACCATTTGCTTCTAATCAATAAGCTAAACTCCTTAGGAATAAGTAACCCATTATTAGGATGGATTGAATCATTCCTTAACAATAGGTCCCAAGTAGTTAGACTGGGTTCTGTAAACTCTAAACCTAGTCCAGTCACTTCTGGAGTAGTTCAACGTAGTGTCTTAGGCCTCCTCCTATTCACTCTATATGTCAACGACATATGCAGCTGTTTCTCACTTGGCAAACCATTCATCTTTGCAGATGATCTTAAAGTAGCTTACACATTCCATTGTGATGACTTAGGGTACTTTCAGAAAGCTGTTCAGGAAGAACTAGATCGAGTAACTGCATGGTCCTCCACATGGAACCTAAAATTCAACCTTCAAAAATGTGGTTGGATATGCTTCGGTGCACCCTCAATAAATATTAAACTGGTACTTGAATCTATCGACTTGCCTAAACTCCAAAGTGTTGTTGACCTAGGACTCAGGTACTCTAGTGACTTGACATTTTCTGAGCAAGTGGCGACACAGACGCGTAAATCGAGGATGCTCTTAGGATGCATACTCAGGAATTCCCACAGCTTCGAAGCAAAACTATTATTATATAAAACTTGTGTCAGACCACTACTTGAATATTGTCCATTTATTCTCAGCAGCACTCGCGTATGTGACAAACTTAAAACAGAAAGTGTCCAACGATACTTCACGTCTAAACTACTAGGATTTGACTGCGAAAAGGACTACACATCAAGGTGTATAACTCTAGGTATCGACCAACTCTGGATGAGACGACTGAGCATTAACCTAACATTTTTCTTTAAAATATTGCATAAAATATCATTCTCAGACAGTAAGGAGATACAGTTCTCACCGGAAGGCTCTTACAATCTTCGTAACCAAACGTGCACAGTATCTAGGAAAAACTGCAAGACAACACTCCGTGCAAACTTCTTCATAGTCATGTACTCTAAGATCTGGAACAGTTTACCCCTAGAAATAAGGACCTGTCACTCTATTATAACCTTCAAACGCTGGCTATATAAACTGCTTCATCCCAATGACTATGCCAATCAGACCGCACCACTTATTTCCAAAACGCATGAGCTATTAAAACACTATAACGCTTAAACTCATTATTAAATATTACGACACTAAATAAACTCTAAGACTTCGCAAAATTACATGAAAAACAACTAGATTATGGGTAGTGTTTACTATACAATGATATACATTTATAAACACTTATACGTACATAAAACAATAATGTTCTTTCCATAATTACATACTTTATTTTTCTGCTATTCTGATGCTGAGCGTACTCTTCTATATACCCCCTGGTCGAGGTCGAACAACCCAACATTTAAACTGGAATGACCATTTAAGTAAATTCAAACTCAAATTCCATGAACGATCCGATGCAACCACTTGAAAACGCTGGCCAACATTCTGTACAAGGAGTATTCTTGATCTAAAATAAAGAAGCAACTGGTTTTCAAACAGTTTTCAATGTATTACTCAACTTACATGTACAGTCTGCCATGCTGACGCAAATTGCGCAAATGGATAGTTCTAGAATCGACCTCGGCCCCATTTAATGCAGTAAAACAATGTGACATGAACTTATCTAATTTTCGTATCAAAGATCAAATTTCTTTCCTATTATAAAACTACGATTAGACTGGTGAAAAAATGGAATAAAT